GCACAGGTTTGAACTGGTGCTCACATGGGATGCCAGAGATGCAGGTGTGACACTCACTGTGCCACGACACAGGCACTTCCATAGGTTCTCTGGATATGGTCCTCCTGAAAACAGAAGAAGGGGCTGTGTGTTTACTTTAGCTCCTTCTGATTAGTGGCTGGTACCACGAGGGACTATTTGTTGAAACTGATCTTTTCTCCCTTTCCTCATAGTCAATCATCTCCCATCACAGACTCCTGTGAATTTAATGACCCCAGATTACTGGAGAATTTAAAGAATGGCCATGTAAGTCTGATATTTTCATTCTAATTTTATATAACAATGATATATAAAACAAATATAGATATAGTATCCTAACAGGTGTAATTTTCTGAACACAGGAAGAGATAGTCTGGATTTTTTTGATGTTTGTATAATGATCCAGGGGTTTTGTACTAATGAGCTAAATGCTGAACTGATCAATATGAGTGAATTTAAATTATGCAAGACCTTTTTCCTAGGCAGCAATCTGTGTGAAGACTGTCTGTTTGCTTTTAAACTATTTGGTTTTATTGCATTGCATTCTACGGCTCTACATTTGTCTATTATAAGATATTGATTTATTTGATTTGAAATCTTCATCTTCTGAAAAAGGGATCTTAAATTTTTTTTGTTGTTTATTTGAAAGATAGTTTGACAGGGAGAGGGAAGGAGGGAAAGAGATCTTCAATCTACTGGTTCACTCCCCAAATACTTGCAATGACCAAGGCTGAGTCCGGCCAAAGCCATGAGCCAGAACTCCATCTGGGTGTCCCATTTGGGTGGCAGGGGCCTAAGCATTTGAGCCATCTTCAGCTGCTTTCTCAGGTGCATTAGCAGGGAGCTGGATCAGAAGCGAACTCGAACTGATGCTCCAACATAATGTGCTAGCTATGGCTTAACCCTACTGTGCCATAATGCCAGCTCAATCATTGTTTCCCTTGCTCAAAATACTTAAGTCACACTTGTCCAGAAACTCTACAGACAGGCAAAGCTGTTCCTTGGCTCAGGGCCTTTGAACATGCTGCTCTGTATGACATGCACATGTCACCATGACTGTCAACTATACAAATGTCTAGCTAGCCTTTTTATTTGGATCTTAATTTAAACGTCATCCCTCACATGCTGTATAAAATAGTCTAGTCATGTAAATAGTCCTCCCCACTCCCACCACAGCCAAATGCCTTTCTCTACGACAGCTCCTATATGTTTCTTTTTTTTTTTTTTTTTTTTGACAGGCAGAGTGGACAGTGAGAGAGAGAGACAGAGAGAAAGGTCTTCCTTTGCCATTGGTTCATCCTCCAATGGCCGCCGCGGCCAGCGCGCTGCAGCCGGCGCACCGCGCTGATCCGATGGCAGGAGCCAGGTACTTATCCTGGTCTCCCATGGGGTGCAGGGCCCAAGGACCTGGGCCATCCTCCACTGCACTCCCTGGCCACAGCAGAGAGCTGGCCTGGAAGAGGGGTAACTGGGACAGAATCCGGCGCCCCAACCGGGACTAGAACCCGGTGTGCCGGCGCCGCAAGGCGGAGGATTAGCCTAATGAGCCGCAGTGCCGGCCCTATATGTTTCTTATTGTTTTGGCCAATCTCACCTGCCCAAGGAGAACAGAGACTCCATGAGGGCAGGGTTGACTTATTCTCTGAGGTCCCCCAACTCTCCTGCATCATCTCTGACTCTGTAGCCGTGGAACCAACACATTTCAAATGCATGAGTGGTTTTTAGCCCGTACTGGACTTTGTGTGCACTGGAGGCAAAACTTCAGTTGGTATAAATTGTAGACAATATTGAATCTCATGTTGCTGGCATAGGGAGAGACCCACTAATTCTGTGTCCCTTTTATAGCCCACAGAAAGCTACATAAAGGAGTTTCTCACCCTGTTATGTGTGTGCCACACTGTTTTTCCAGAAAAAGATGGAACTAAGATAAACTACCAAGCTTCCTCCCCAGGTGTGTACGCTGTGCAGGTAAAGCGCATCGTGGGAGGCAGGTGTCAGGGCCTTGGCAAGGCTTCGTGCTGCTGCTCATCCCCTTGGCTGCTCCCGCCTTTGGCCTTCCCAAGGCTTCTCCTGTGCTGGGGCATTCACAATACAGAGTAGCTCTGAGCAGCTCAGCAGGTCTGGGGATCCCGGTCCCCCACCCCCACCAGCTGCAGTGAGAAGGCTAGCCTGGGCCCATAGAGCCCAAGGTCAAGGAGCATGCTTGGATTTGTCAGTAACAAAGCAGAAGTGAGGTCAAGGCCCTGCAGCACCAGATGGAGATGCTGTTAAATGCTTGGGGAACAAACAAGATCATTATGAGTAATAAAAAAAGTACTTCACTGTCCACCAGAAAGCCTAACCAAAAGAGGCCTCATTTAACCAAATCTCTTTCATGAACACAATCCAGTACCTAGAATCCAGTTAAGTGTATTTGGATCAAGAAAGAAAAGTTGTCTTTTAATGGCACAATATTTTATTGCTGGAGAATGGAAATCTGAATTAAATTAACTTAAATTCTCTGTTGATACATTTGCTCAATCCTTATTATTTATTTATTCTTTTATTGACAGACGAAGCAGCTTTAGTGAAAGGGGCAAAAAAACTTGGCTATGTTTTCACTGCAAGAACACCATACTCAGTCACCATAGAAGCTGTGAGTAGAACCCTGAATACTTCCAACACTTTATAACATACTTGCCTTTTCAGAAAATGTCCATGGAGCCCTGGGGTCACAGTGCTGGGGAGTCCCGCCCAGCCCCCTCCCTCCCAGCCATTATCTCAGGCCCCTTCCTTCACTTCCCACTCTTTTCCCATGTTTTATGGTGACTTCTGTGTCATCGGGTCCTTGTGAGGATTGCATGAGGCCACTGAAATAAAGTTGGCGGAAGTGAGTTACTCCAGAGTTAGACTCATCAGACCTTCAAGAAATTCCTTATGAGGAATTACATGGCTCAGATTATTCTTGGGTGCGTTCTGTTATTGTACTTATTATTCTCTGCATTGCATATGTTTCTTTGTTTCTGTCTTGTTAACTGTTCACCACAAGGCTCTGATATTAAAGGGGAAAAAATGGAATCTGTGCAAACACTGCGACCAACATGCTGACTTCCTCTTCTAATAATAATGTGATGGTTGAGATGTTTACTACACATTATGTCTTTCATAGAAGGGACTGGTTAATTTATCCTTATATCCATATACCCGGCAGATGGACAACTCTCCAATTGTTTGCAATTCTGCAGTGCCTTATATTGGTGATGCTAGGAGCCAGTGGATTCAGAGATAAGTTGATCTTAGCAACAGGAAGTCAAGAGGCTATAACTGGAAAACTTTAGAAAATAATATATCATTTCTTTGAAGCATTATTTATAGCATGATACCTGTTTCCTTTATTCATCTCAAATTATCTGAACATTAAGGATTTCATTGGATCTCTGCAATGTGACAAAAAAGATGTATTTATTCCTCAGTTGCTGTGTGTTGATTTTCATTATCTACATTTACCCTTGCCACCTGAGACTATTTAGAAAAGGTTTCTAAGAGTGCTGATTGGAGACTGAAACCAGCGGTGCCACTTCTAAATCGCGCTGTTAGAAACACGTGTGCTGTTACCACTGCCCGAGTTGCAGAGAACACTCTTACCAGAGGAGGGCGCCATCATCTCATCAGATGTGCAAGAATAGTTTACGTTTAGAAAAAACGTGTAAATGCAAAGTCAAACGTTGTGATTGGGGAAGTGAATGGCTTTGCGAGATGAGCACTTTCTTCCTCAGGTGAGAATATGTTGTTTTGTCTTCCTGCAGATGGGACAAAAATGCATTTTTGAAATCCTCAATATCCTGGAATTTTCTAGGTAAGCCACCCCTCTGCAAGGAGACGCTGCTTCGCTCCCTCAGGACTCATTTCTGCGAATCTCTTACTTGTGCTCTTAGCCTCATCATTCTTTTCTCGAGCAGTCTTAATCCTGAGAAGAAACAACATCCATTTTGTGGGAAGGGCTTGAGACCGTGGAAGAACTAATGACCGGGAGGCAGCTTGGTGCACTTGACTTGTGCAAAGCTAAAGTGGACAGCAAAAACACAAACAAAACACAAGCTCAGTTTAAATTACCTTCCTGACATTGCTAAGCAAATAGGTGCCAGAATCAGGATTCAGATCCAAGGTCCCTGGGGTGGTGGCCATGGAGGGAGCGGTGGTGGAGCAGAGCAAGAACTGGGTTGTGTGACTCACAGCAGGACTTTCTCTCCTTGGATGTGGCACAAAGCCATTAGAGGATTAAAAGCTTGGGCAGGTGTCATCTCATTTGTGTTTCCTGGATTACCTTGGGGATTGCAGCACGGTTTGAAAGTACGTATGAAAGCTTTCAGTGCTGGAAGTTCTTGTTGCCTGCCTGCTGATCACTTCCTGGAAGATCAGTGATCTGAGTATGTGCACTGCAGCAGGGCGTGGCTGTTTGTGTCACCACGAGGCATGGGCTTTGCCATGAGAAGCTTACACTCTTCTAGAAGACAAAGTTATGTGCAGGATCTTGATAGGATCTAGAGAGCTTAGTACCAGGCAGGACCCAGGAAGATCAAAGCAGACGGATATGGCAAGTTGTAGGTGAGCAGGGAAGAGAGAGTTTCTGGTTGAAGAGCTTGGGGAAGGCCTTAGGGAGGAGAAGGTTGCATTCTGAGTGCAGGTGGACGTGGTAGCTGGGAATAGAGCACATGTCTTGGGTGGAGGCTATGGAGCCAGTGGCGACACGGAGGAGAATGTTCAGGGAACAGAGGATCTTCTGGCACAATTTAAGCTTGGATTGTGCAAGACAGAGGGTTGTGAGATACGCAGAAGAGCTGGGGACGTGGGCGTTTGGAGGTTATGTGTAGGGATCCCTGAAATGTCTTCCTGGGCCATAAAGAGCCACCCAAAGGTGAAGGCTGGGGGAATAATAGGATGAGGAAGAAGTTCTGTTTCAGACACTTCACTTGGGCCAGGTGTGGGATGGGGGGGAGGGGCGATCTTCAGGCCCACTGAGGCTGCCAAGTCAGGAATAATAGCACTAATTTAGAAAACAGAAAAAGAAAAAGTTCTGGAGGCCTTGGAAAACAGAAATCTACATTAAAAAAAACACCAACTTTCTGGGATCTCTTGAGGCAGCAGTTTAACATCTGTGAGCAGCAGCTGGGGAACAGGAAGATCTGCTGGACAGAGATGCTGTGAGGTCTGAACACACACAGCCTGGGCAGCTGTCCTCTTTCTTTGTAAGGGTTTTCATGATTCTGCTACAAACGAGGGCACTTTAAAATGTTCCTGGAAAAATGGAACTAACATGCATGTTTATTTTGGTGCGAATACGATTGGAAATCCATGCAATGTGCATTTTCCACAAACTTTTGGAATGCTCCTCATGTATATTGTGTAAAATGACAAACATATTTTGTGTATATTTTATAGAAATGTACATATATTATAATCATATGCTCATGATTTATACATATAATATGTAAAATATAATGTATATATTATATGTATAATTATGATAAAAAGTTTCCATGGAAGAAAAGAACAGAAACTGAGAAATAGTAGTAGTAGTAGTAGTAGAGGGGAGTGTAGATTTATAATTGAAATTCCAGTTTAAGGAATTAGGTAAAGAAATGGTGACTGGCAATTGAAGAAACATGTTGGGCTTTTAACTCACTGTCAGCTGAGGACTCTGAATTCTCTTGCCTTTGATTATTTGATTAAGTGTGTGTGTGTGTGTATGTGTATGTGTGTGTGTGTTGGCACCATGTACCAAATCGATAAAGACAAATAATGCTTTTTACATTGTTCTAGTAATAGAAAAAGAATGTCCATCATTGTCCGAACTCCCACGGGACAGCTCCGTCTCTACTGCAAAGGGGCTGTAAGTATTTGCGCTCAGTGTTCACAGTCATTCGTTATCTTTGTTCCAACAACTCATCAGAAGCCTTTTAAATTTCACAATTTTTCAAATATTTATTACTTCTTTGAAAGGCAGAGAGAGAGAGAGAAAGAGAGAGAGAGAGAGAGAGAGATCTTTCACCTGCTGGTTCACTTCCCAGATGGCAGCAGTGGCCAGGGCTGGGGCATCCTGAAGCCAGGAGCCTGAAACTCCATCCCAATCTCCCACATGAAATTTCACATTATTTTAAAATGTTTATCTGCTGCTGCCATTGATTGTTGACAATGCCATTCAATATTAAAAAGTTCACTTTAAGGGAACCAAGAGTTTCCCAACAGCCAACCCCCTTTGAAATTGATTGTGGCCCACAGCAGAATATTAAGCTTTAAGTGAGAAGCTTCCTGCTACTCAGTTGTTTTATTGGGAATCAATAATTAGATGGTTGATTCTAAGGATTTGTAGCAGGAATTTTGATCCTAGTTTGAAGCTCTAGGTGTTTGGATTTGTTGGGTCTCAGGAATTCACTTTTACCTGTGTAAATATTTTTTAAAGCACTTACATATTTGTTAATTACCATAGGTGCTTTAAAGATTCAGCTTTACTGGCAGGTGTAATTGAGGTTTATTGAAATGAAATATAAACTGTAGATATTCAACATGTAGAATTACAAACGTTTTGATCCTGATGTGCCTTCTGTCACTATATAAGAGTATGAATAGTTATTTCTTTGTATTGATGACTAGTATTTCATTGTATGGGTGTGTTACAGTTTGCTTATCCATGCACCTGTTGGTGGGTATTTTGTTTGTAGTTTTTGCAATACAAATAGTGTTCCTATGAACATTTGTGTACAAGTCCTTTTACAGACATTTGGGTTCATTTCTCCTGGCTGCCTGTCTAGGGGTGAAATGGCTGTACTATGTGGCAGAAGTGGTTCAATCTTCTAAGAAACCACAAAACCAAGGTTACATCCCTACAAGGAATCCTCAACAACACCTGCTAGTCTTTCTCATTTCAACCATTAGGTTTTTCTGTTTGTTTGTTTGTTTGTTTTTGTTTTTGTTTTTTTTTTTTTCCCAAATCTTAGAACAGTACAAGGGAAGTATTGTGAATTAGAACCTCTACCTGAAATATAAAGCAAGAATGAAAATTAAGTTTCCACCTATAAACCCTGCTCTTGATCAGAAGTGTTTCCTTTTTTGGAGTGTCTATGGCACTGAGACCCACTTGGCTTGGGACTGCTGGTTTGCAATTGAAATCATTTGGAATGTGGATTTAACTCTTATTGTTTCTAATGGGTATTATTTTTTAAAAAATATGTAAATTTTTATTTCTTTGATAAGTTTGAGATTATGTAAAGCAGTGCTATCTTTCTTTCATTACTCCCCCTGATTTGTAGCTTTCTCCAACATGTTTTATTCATGGAGATGTGTCACTTTTAACTAAAATAACCAGATCAGTTACAACTTTACAGCTTACTTTTGAGTGCATTGTGTTTTTACTGTAGCTGTTCAGTCTCCTACACACCAGGAAATATAATAACAATGCTCAAATCTGACTGCAAAACTTATATGAGACATTAATCTTGGGATTTTTTTTTTTAATATAGGACTTGGTGATTTATGAGAGACTTTCAAGCGATTCTCTGTTTGTGGGTGAGACGTTAACCCATCTGGAACATTTTGCCAAAGAAGGTAAGTAAAAGTACAGATTGTTTAGAATCCAGTTCCCTTTGGAAACGCTACTTTTAAATGTTGGAAGTACACCCTGAATGCATGTCATTGATGCTTTTGGGGCACACAGGGGTGAGGGTGGGGGCAAGAAACCCTCATTCATTCTTTCATTCACTCAACAAATAGTTCTCGAGAATGTAGTAAGTGACAGACACTGTTCTAAGCACGTAGGACAGTAGTGAGTAAAACCCAAAAAGGCCAGGCCCTGAAGGAACTTGCTAATAAATCAATAATGGCAGGTGGTGATGGGTGCTTGAAGAACAGTAAAAAAGGGAAGGGGAGAGGAGAATGATGGGTGCTCTTTAAATAGCATGATCTAGGCAGAAACGGAAGGAAGGAAGGGAGAACTGGGTTGCTTTATAGGATGTCATTTCCCAGGTAAGGGTGGAGCAAACGAAAGAGTCTGGGAGGAAAGGGATCAGCGGGGAGGCCACAGTGAGTGAGGAGCAGGCAGAGCCACATAGAGCACTTTACCGCCCTGTGACTATGAAACACCTCCCTTGTGATGCTATGACTTGAACAGCCTTTGTTTCAACTGTTGAGGAACAACTTTTTTTTTTCCTTCATACTGTTTGTTGAGCTCTTTACTTAGTGTAGGGTTAATTTTATGTGTATAAAGTTAATTGAAAATAGATCATAAGAATGGGAATAAGAGAAGGAGGAAGAAGAAGGGTGAGAATATGGGCAAGAGGGAGAGGTAGGGTAGGAAGAATCACTATGTTCCTAATTTGTATATATGAAATGCATGAAGTCTGTATAGCTTAACTAAAAGGTTTCTAGGTAAAAAATGAATAAAACAAAATAAAGTGCCTCCATATTTTATTTTCCCATGCTCCGCTGCCTCAATCACTGGTCTCACGGCCAACATATATTCTGTTCTTTCCTGCAGGTCTGAGAACGCTGTGTATTGCCTACACAGATTTAACCGAGGAAGAATATCAGTGGTGGCTGGAGGATTATAAGAAAGCTACTCTAACTTTACATGACAGAATCAAAAGGATCGAAGAATGCTATGATAAGATTGAAAAGGTAACTGCGCCGCGGCTCACTAGGCTAATCCTACGCCTTGTGGCGCCAGCACACCGGGTTCTAGTCCCGGTCGGGGCGCCGGATTCTGTCCCGGTTGCCCCTCTTCCAGGCCAGCTCTCTGCTGTGGCCAGGGAGTGCAGTGGAGGATGGCCCAAGTGCTTGGGCCCTGCATCCCGTGGGAGACCAGGATAAGTACCTGGCTCCTGGCTCCTGCCATCGGATCAGCGCGGTGCGCCGGCCGCAGCGCGCCAGCCGCGGCGGCCATTGGAGGGTGAACCAACGGCAAAAGGAAGACCTTTCTCTCTGTCTCTCTCTCTCACTGTCCACTCTGCCCTGTCGAAAAAAAACAAACAAATAAGAAGAATAACAGAGGAAAGTAACTGCCCGCATGTACTGAGCAGGCTCGAGATACGTGGGAGGGAAATCCAGTTGTCCGTGTTTTCCTGGCTTGCTGTCAGTTTCAAAACCGTGACACTTTGTGAATTTTTTCTTCAGAAGTAAAACTTTGTCTTATCTCATTGCAAATCCATAAAATGTCTCTTTATAAAATATTTAAGAATATTTCTCCCTTCTGAATCATATCTTAAGTACTTTAATCTTAGAATCTCTTTTTATAACTTTTCCCATTTCAAAAGAAATACATGTTCACTATAGAAAATTAAGCTAAGATGTAAATAATCATTTGTAATGGTGGGCTGATGATGGTCCATCCTCCACTGCCTTCCCAGGCCAGAAGCTGAGAACTGGATTGGAAGAGGAGTGGCCAGGACATGAACCAGTGTCCATATGGGATTCTGGCACTGCAGGCAGGAGGCTCAGTCCACTACACCACAGCGCTGGCCCTGCCGCCCACCCCGTCTCCTTTCTGTGTTTACATATATGTGTTGTATATCTATAGTATTCTATTGTATGCATTTTACACGCACAGACTTTTTTCTATGAAAATTAGCATAAACTGGGCATACTACATGAATCATGAACTTTTCACTTACTAAATTGGAAATATTTTTCCATGTCATTGAATATTCTTTCATGTCTAATTTGATTATTCCAGGGTGTTTCATTATATGAAAAGCCCAATATTGTTTTGCACTTTGTTTTCTTTTCTTTTTAAAAGATGTATTATTTATTTGAAAGGCAGAGTAACAGAGAGGTAGGGGCAGAGAGAGAGAGAGATCTTTTATCCGCTGGTTCACTCCCCAGATGGCTGCAATGGCCAAAACTGCACCAGTCTGAAGCCAGGAGCCAGGAGCTTCTTCCGGGTCTCCCATGCGGGTTGCACTCTGTTTTCTAGCAATTGCTTTATTCTAGAACCATCTCATGCACTGTGGGTTAGAGAGTATCTCTTTAGAATCCTTGTGAATTTGCTTCAGCTGGAGCCTCAGGGATTTCACAGGTCCTGAGCTTATTTTTATCATGGTTTCTTAGGATTCTTTTGTCATTTGGCTCTGTGAAGTGTGTATTTCACTCCTGCAGGAACTTGACCAGCACAGATATAAACAGGAAGGTTTCCTTAACATCATCGAATCCATCCTTTTTTCGAAGTTGGGTGTTGAAAGATTGGGAATCTAATCCAGTTCACACCAAGTGCACAGCCACACTACACCTTCCTCCTGGGTGATTCCCCTGCATCTGTTGCACAAATCACAGTGAGGTGGACAAACTGAGCTGGGTTTTGCACCTCTGCCTCATGTTTCCATTTGAAGCCTCCAGAGGGACATCCCACCTGGACCACAGTCCATCGCTGCCACTCACTGAGAAGGAAGCTGAGCAATTGAAACCCAGCTTCCGAAACTAGAAAAGCTGTACGGGGCCAGCATTATGGCATAGTGGGTTAAGCCTCTGCCTGCGATACCGGCATCCCATGTGGGTGCCGGTTATAGAGAGGCTGAGGTTGAGAGAGAGAGAGAGAGAGAGAGAGAGAGAGACCTTCCATCCACTGGTTCACTTTCCAATTGGCTGCAACAGCTGGAGCTGAACTGATCTAAAGCCAGAAGCCAGGAGCTTCTTCCAGGTCTCCCATACGGGTGCAGGGGCCCAAGGATTTGGGCCATCTTCTACTGCTTTCCCAGGTCATATGAGAGAGCAGGATTGGAAGTGGAGCAGCCGGGACTTGAACCAGCGTTCATATGGGATGCCGGCACTGCCGGCAGCAGCTTTATCTGCTATGCCACAGCACCAGCCCCAGAATTTGCGTTCTTCCTTTTCATTTTAGATACTTCATTTCTTTTATTGTCTAAATGGCCCAGTAGAACCTCCAGAAAAGTGTTGGATATAAGTAGTGAGGGTGGCATCCTCCTCTTGTTCATGATTTTAAGGGAAAAGTATTGGGTTCTCCATTAAATATAATGTAAAACTGTGGGTTTTTCACAGAAGGCTTTTATGACTTGAGGAATTCCCTTCTAATTTCAGTTTGTTGAATATTTGTATAATAAAATGGTTTAAGTCATTTTTTGAAAATTCATGTCTCTTACCTGTAAACATAAGCCATTTCTGAAAATATTTCCTGCTACTTGTAGGAAATTTTACGTTAAACTACAAAGTTTTAATGTAGAAATATCCTGACAATATCATAGAAGAAATAACACAAAAATAGTATAATGAAAATAGAGATGTTCAATAGGATCAGTTTGGTTTGAATTATTAGGATTATAAAAACTTCATGTTGTTCTTAAGACTAATGGCTTTCTGGATCACTTAAGGTTTGTATTTACTGTTTATGTATCATAGTATTTCAATTATTTTGATACTAATTGTCAGCGTAGAATACATTTGCCTTATACCTTTTTTGTTTTTATTTTAATTAGTTTTTAAGAGATTCAGTGTTATTTGTAGATACAATTCTAAGAACATGATATTCCCTTCCTCTTGAAGTGATGTAGAATACTCTTAAATCCTTGGATTATGCTGGCTTCTGAGAAATGTGTCTCAGACGATCTGAGGTCATCTCTGATCTCTTTATGCTTTGCATAAAACCCTTTGTCTACCATCAAACCTCTCAATCTCTCCAGTGATAGGGAAATAATTTACAATAGGAACAAAATTCTAAAAGAAACTATTAAACAAGTAAGAACTTTATGGAGAAGATTATGAAATTTTACTTAAGGGCAAAATGAAGAACCGAAATAAATGGATGGGTATGTATTGTGTATAGAAAAACTCAACATAGTAAATGTAGCAACTCTCCAACTAGTGCAGTGCAGGAGTACATCAAATTCCCAACAGAAGTTTCACATAACTGACAAGTTTGCCTTACAATTCATATAGAAGCAGGTGGAGGCTTAGAATGACCAAGATGATTTTTGAAGAATGAGAGGGGACTTAACCTGACTAGACATCAGGATTTAAAGTTAGAACTAATATAGTGGATATTTATTACCTATTTTAAATCTGCTAGATATTATTCTGATTGTTTACAATGTTTTCTAATAAAAATTGCATGAGTAATCTTATCTTCCCCATTTATCCATTTTATAGATGAGGAAACTGAGGCATAGGTGAGGAAACTGAGCTTAAGTAATTTGCTTAAGATCATGCATGCATCTAGTAAATTACAGAGTGAAGACATGAATCTAAGAACCTATGATTTAAAAAAAAACATTTATTTATTTGTATTTGAAAGAGTTACACAGAGAGAGGAGAGGGAGAGAGAGAGAGGTCTTCTATCCGCTGGTTCACTCCCCAGTTGGCTGCAATGCCAGAGCTGTGCCGATCCAAAGCCAGGAGCCAGGAGCTTCCTCTGGGTCTTCCCATGCAGGTGCAGGGGCCCAAACACTTGGGCCATCTACTACTGCTTTCCCAGGCCACAGCAGAGAGTTGGATCAGAAGTGGAGCAGCTGGGTCCCGAACCAGCACCCATATGGGTTGCCAGCACTGCAGGTGGTGGCTTTACCCACTATACTACAGTGCCAGCCCAGAACCTATGTTCTTAACCATAATGCTTTACTGTCTCATGTTGTCATAAAATAGATCAATGGAAATAATAGAAGAAAAGCATGTATGTGTGTACATATATATAATTCATTTAATACAATTATTAGACTGCATATCTTCCATCAAAATGCATTCTTGCATCTTAAATACTTAGTAATTTTTAAAAATCTCTCAAAAACATCTAGAAATTTCTGCTTCTTGGAGCCACAGCCATTGAAGATCGTCTTCAAGCACGTGTTCCAGAAACCATAACAACTTTACTGAGAGCAAATATAAGAATATGGGTCTTGACAGGAGACAAACAAGAAACTGCAATTAACATAGGTAATAGATAAAATAGAGTTTTTATAAATCTCATTATACATGTATTCTAAATATGTCCCAATGTCAAGAATGTATGACTGAACTTTCAAGTGATTACTTCATGTCCTTGGAAAAATGGAATGCAAAAGAATCTTGCCATCACCAAGAGAATTTGAACAAACTAAGCAAACTGTTCTGTCTCCATATTCCTGAAACACAGAATACAGAACGGTAACATGAGTAATCCATTAGCCTCTTGGCCCTTCCTTCAATACTTAAGTCATCGGTTGGCATTTTTGCCCTACGATGTATATACCAATTTTTGTGTTATATATGTTCTTTTATAAACATTTGATTATAAGTGAGAATATCTTGATGGTATCCTTTCCTCTGATTTTCAATGTCAGTTCTTCCTGCCTTTGCTTATGATTATATCTTAGGCTGATAAGTGCAGACAAGGAGTTAAAAACAAATTGTTAGCTGTGTATAGGCACATTTTGATGGTGAGAAGAAACTGAAGCTTCTGTTCTTTCCCCAGTCATGTAGTAGCCAGCCCTGGTTAGATGAGCATACATGGTGAACTGACCCTGCAGGCTCCTTTGTTGGCTCCATTACTTTGTTTACATTATTTCCATTTGTACCATGAGTGTTGACCACTTGCTATGTGTCAAGAAAATTCTAGGAGCTGGGAACGAATAGTTGAGTAAGAAGGTCTCAGTCTCACTGTCCTGACATCCAAGCAGAGAAGACAGACAATCAATAAGCAGATTGTGATAAATATGAAGAATAAAAACAAAGCAAAACATTAAGTGAAATAAGGGAGATAATTCAGATAAGAAGACCTGTTAAGGAGAGGACAATTAAAGCAGGAACCTAAATGAAAAGTGGGAGTAAGCATTGGGAAGATCTCTGGGAAGGAGATTTCAGACCAGGAGAACCGCGAGCACCAGAGCCCAGGCGTGGAGGTGTGCTTGTCATTACTGAGCAGCCCTGGAAGGGCCACAGGGCTGGAGCACAGGGGCAGGCAGAGAAATGGCAGGCCATGGCAGGGAATGTGTCAGGGTTGGAGCAAGACGGTGATATAATCTGATATGCGCTTTAAGGCCAAAATGGGGAAAATGGAAACAGGGAGACCAGTTAGGCAGCCTTGGTAGAAGTCTAGCCTAGAGATGAAGGTGGCTTGTTCTAGAGTGTGATGAGGAAAACGGGAGAGGAACTGCATGGGTCAGGGGACACATTTGGTAGGTTGAACTATCAGCATGCTTTGGTGTGGGTTCTGTGAGTGTAGACAACTCTTTCAAAGAGGTTTGCTATGGGGGGCAGAAAAGTGGGGTGGTAGTTGGAAGAGTAATCAATCAAAGGTTGCTCTTTTGAAAGAGTTACTTAACCTCTCATCATCATTTTCTCGTGTGTAAAGTGGGGTTATTACTACCTTTTCCCTCAGCGGGTTGTTCCCTCCAAGTCAGTGCTGTGAAGAGCTCAGCTTGGTGCCTGCTGCTCGGTACTTCCTCCCTGAACATTAGATATTGACATAACCTTTAAGTAGTCCACCCATGATGCTGTCACTCATTTTTCCATCCGACAAATATTGGAAGACATACCCTAAATATAATCTCATTTTTCCAGCTTTCCTGTATTTCTGGCTTAACATGGCTTGCTGCTTCTGTATAATCACACACTCAGTGGCCCCATACTTAGTGTGAATGCAGGGTGAAGCCCTACTGACACAAGGACCTGATAATCACTTTCCTCCTTGCTTCCAAGTTCAGAACAACTGGATTCTTAGATAATTGCTGTATTGCACTGCATTCATTTCAACACTAAAATTGAGTGTGGTAGATTTTTTTTTAAGAAGAACAGAAATAAATTGATGTCTCAGAGAAGGGCTTATAGACTCAAACAACTGGAAGAAATTGGAATGGAACAGAATACAGGAAAATGCCATATGAGGATAGGGTGAGCCCATGGGAGAATACTGGCCCCTATGTTACTTCCATGAGTATGAACAGCCAGGAAAGTGTATTCTATCTGGGAGGGCTGCATCTGAGAGCCAACGTCTTCACGTCTTCCAAAGAGAAACATACAGTGTGGTGGTTGAAATATCACAGGATTTGGTGTTTATTTATTTTATTTTTGACAGGTAGAGTGGACAGTGAGAGAGAGAGACAGAAAGGTCTTCCTTTGCTGTTGGTTCACCCTCCAATGGCGGCCGTGGCCGGCGCGCTGCGGCCGGCGCACCGCGCTGATCCAATGGCAGGAGCCAGGTACTTATCCTGGTCTCCCATCGGGTGCAGGGCCCCAGGACTTGGGCCATCCTCCACTGCACTCCCTGGCCACAGCAGAGAGCTGGCCTGGAAGAGGGACAACTAGGACAGAATCCGGTGCCCCGACCAGGTCGGGACTAGAACCCGGTGTGCTGGCGCCACAAGGCAGAGGATTAGCCTAGTGAGCTGCGGCGCCGGCCAGGATTTGGTGTTACAAAGCAAAAGTTACTTAAGTTGCTTACTAAGATAAAAATTAACCAGTATTTCAACTCCTTTTTCATCTGCAACATCTTGCTCAGTTTTTTTTTTGATTGTGATAAAAGACTTAGAAATAATCTTGAAGCCACAAATATGATGAAAGGAGGATATAAACAATCTTTCTTTCGAATGCTCATGGAAAGCACTGAGTATTCAAATATAACATCTTCATTTTTCTCTTTCTAGCATATTCCTGTAAATTGATATCAGGTCAAATGCCTCGTATTCATTTGAATGCAAATTCATTTGAGGTAAGTGATTTAAAAAAATGCTTAATTTTAGTACAATCTACTCGTTTGGAGTTATCCAGCTCCTTAAAATCTGCAGTAGATTGACTCTCTTTCTCTCTCTCTAACTCTGGGTTTCAAATAAATGAATCTTAAAAACACAATTTTTAGTGTAGAGGTCTTACATGTGATTTGTTAGATTAATAACTAAGTATTTTGCATTTTGGAAATATTTTAAATAGAATTGTGTTATAACTTAACTTTCTAATCATTTACTAGTTTAAAAAAATGAACTTGCATTTTTAAAATTAACTTCATACTCTGACTTCGCTAAATTCTCCTGTTGATTCTGTTGCATTATAGATTCTCTGTAGATTACAATCATGTAATCTTAGAATTGCATAAGTTGTACTTCTTCCTTTACCATCTTTAGTCCTTGTTTTCTTTCTCTTTTCCCCCTAATTGCCATACTTGTAACCTGTGGTACAGTACAGAGATAGGTCATGAGAGTGGCTATTCTTGCTTTGGTCCCAATTTTAGAGGGTAAGTATTTAGTGATTCAGTGTTAAGTATAATGCTAGCTGTAAATTTCTCATAGATATTCTTTACTAGATTGAGAAAGTTACTTTCTATTCTCAGGATAGTTATTTTGAATGGATGTTGTTTTTTGGTTTTTGGTTAGTTTTTGTTTTTTAATCCATTGGCAAAATGATAGTTTTTCTTTAATCTGCTAGTATAGTAAATTACATTGATTTTTTGAATGTTGAAACTGAGGTTGCATTTTTAGGATAAATTCTATTTGGTCATAATATATTATCATTTTTACAAAGTATTTATTTACTTGAGAGTTAAACACACACACACACACACACACACAGAGTGAGAGCGAGAGAGAGAGAGAAACAGTGATCTGCTGATTCACTTTCTAAAGACCCTCAATCGTCAGGACTGAGGCAAACCGAAGCCAGGAGGCAGAAACTAAACCCAGTTCTCCCAAGTGGGTAATAGAACCCAGTGTCTTTCTCTCTCTCTCAGATTTATTTATTTGAAAGTCAGAGTTATATATATAGAGAAATTCCATCAGCTGGTTTACTCCCCAAGTGGCCTCAGCCACTAGGGCTGAGCCAGACTGAACCCAAGACCCAGGAACTTCATCCAGGTCTCCCATGTGGGTGGCAGAGGTCCAAACACTTGGGCCATCTTCTGCTGCTTTTCCCAGGCCATTAGCAGGGAGCTGGATCAGAAGTGGAGCAGTCACAACACAAACCAGTGTTGTGATGACGGCATTGCAGGCTGTGGCTTTACCCACTACACCACAGAGCCAGCCCCAGGAACCCAGGCTATGAGCCATCCACACAGCCCAGTATGTACATTAGCACGAAGTTGGAGTCAGGAGCTAGAGCCAAGCATCAAACCCAAGCACTTTCATATGGAATGGGGGCACCTCAACAAGTATCTTAACTGCTAGGCCAAATGCATATCCAATATATTATCTTTGTAATATATTGGTGAACTCAATTTTTTGTTGTAGATTTTGCATTTATATTCATGCTATGTGAGGATATAAGAAAAATATTTTTTCCTACTCTTGTCTCTCCACCCAACACAACACTTCTGATACTAAATGTGTGTGTGTTGGGGGAGGGGATATGTCCCCAAACACCAGACAGTTCCCCAGTGGACACCAACTAGGCAGCCTATAAATCATTTCAGTTCTGGAAATGAACTATCTACCTGGAGACTGTGTCACTTCACACAGGTTGAGGGCTCAGTCCCACAAAACTGTCCCCACTTCAGATAACAGTCACAAGATATAGGTTCATCATCTATAGTTTTGACCAAGGAGTTATAAATCAGGGCTCCCACTGACCCCTCCACAGGTTTAGCCGATGTGCTAGTGCAGGGCAACCCTTCACTTACATTTGCAGGTGTACAAAGGGTAAAGATGAAGAGCCAGATGAAGAGATCCACAGGGCAGTGCACGGGGGGAGGGGTATGGGGCTTCCATGCCTTCCTCAGGCGCTCCACCCTCCTCAACCCACTCACCAGCCATGCGCAAGCTCTCCTAACCCCGTCCTTTTGGGTTTTATGGAAAACTTCATTTCTTAGACACGATTGATTAAATCATTGACCGTTGTTGATCAACTTGACCTTCAACTTAACCTACTGTCTTTCAGTCCCCACTTCCCGGAGATTGAGGAGGTGGCTGTAAGGTTCTTTTCAGTGAGTGAAGCTCTCCAGGTGCTTTCGGCTGCTGGTCATCTCATTAACATACAGAGAAACTGTCGGCTGGAGATCCCATGGGTTTTAGCAGCTCTGCACCAAGAAACTGGACAGACTAAACAGCTCTTTCAAATTATCAGATGGAGAAATGTCACTCCTTTCTTCATTTGTAATGTCTTTTTTTTTTTTGATTTTGAAATGAAGATGATGCTGGCCTCATACAGTCCATTGGAAAAAGTTCTCCAATTTTTTTCCAAAATTTTGTCTGGGATTGGTATATTTTTCTCCCTTAGTTATTTGTTAGAATTCATCAGTTAAATCAGCTAAGTTTAGAGTTTTCCTTGGGAAAGATTTTTTAGCTATAATTTTAATTTCTGTGAGCTATCTAGAAGATGAATTTCCTCTCTAATATGCTCTGGAAATTTCCAAGAAGTTTATTTCATCTACATTGTTCACTTTATTGACAGAAGCTACTTCAAAATACTATTTCTTCTTATCCTTTTATTTTATATATGTTCTTGTGGTTATAATGCCTCTGAATTCTTGATGCTGGTAATTTATATGATCTCTTTTTCCAGATCACTATTGTCATGAATTTATTAGTTTTGTTGTTTTTTAAAAAGATTCATTTATTTATTTGAAAGTCAAGGTTACAGAGAGGCAGAGGCGGGGGTGGGGTAGAGAGTCTTCCATCCACCAGTCCACTCCCCAAATGTCCACCATGGCTGGAGCTGGGCCAATCTGAAGCCAGGAGCCTGGAGCTTCCTCCAGGTCCCCTATGCAGGTGCAAGGCCCCAAACACTTGGGCCATCTTTCACTGCTCTCCCAGGCACACCAACAGGGAGCCTGGGACTTGGGGGGGCATAGGGCCAGCTGAGCTATCCCGTCAGACTGCACCAGTTTGAATGAAAGCTCCACAAGATGGTGGCGGCCAGGGCTGAGGCGCAAGGAGGATATGGAATATTATCTTGTAAAATGGAAAGGATGGCCAGATTCTACAAATACTTGGGAAACTGCAAAATCTCAAGTGCCTGTTACTGCTCCAGCAGTTCTCTAATGACAAGAATAATTATTCATCTCAGGTAAAAAATGCAAAGCAATAATTCCAAAATATAATAAAGCTTTGATACCTGCTGTTGCTGAGTACATTGTAAAGAAGACTAAACAGAGGATGGCTTTGCAGAGATGGTAAGATGAACTCAACAGAATAAAGATTCATAAAGGAATGATATTTGTTGAAAATACTATTGACTTGGAGGGCCCACCTTCTGACTTCTATTACATCAATGAATACAAACCAGCTCCTGGAATCAGCTTAGTAAATGAAGCCACCTTTGGTTGCTCACGCACAGATTGCTTCTTTGAGAAACATTGTCCTGCTGAAGCTGGAGTTCTTTTGGCTTATAATAAAAACCAACAAATTAGAATCCCACGTGGCACCCCCATTTATGAATGCAACTTGAGGTGCCGATGTGGACCTGATTGTCCCAAAAGGATTGTACAAAAAGGTGCGCAATATTCACTTTGCATCTTTCAAACTAACAATGGCTGTGACTTGGTTGTAAAAACACTTATGAAGATTAAAAGAATGAGTTTTGTCATGGAATATGTTGGAGAGGTAATCACAGTGAAGAAGCTGAAAGACGTGGACAGTTCTGTGACAACAAAGGAATAGCTTATCTCTTTGATCTGGACTATGAATCTGATGAATTCACAGTGGATGCAGCTCAATATGGAAATGTGTCTCATTTTGTAAATCACAGTTGTGACCCAAATCTTCAGGTGTTCAGTGTTTTCATTGATAACCTTGAAACTCATCTTCCACGAATAGCATTATTTTCTACAAGAACCATAAATGCTGGAGAAGAGCTCACTTTTGATTATCAAATGAAAGGTCCTGGAGATGTATCTTCAGATTCTATTGACCACAGTCCAGCCAAAAAGAGGATCAGAACTGTATGAAAACGTGGAGCTGCGACTTGCAGAGGTTACCTCAACTGAATTTTCGGAGAATATAGCTAGTGATAATTGTAGTTTTGTTTTTCTCAAATGCTATCATTTTTAAAATACACATTTGGGACTTTCTTCATAGTATTACAGTTGTACCTATATTAATTCACAATTAGTGTTTCAAGACATTTGCCAAATGCATTATTGATCTTTCTGAAGAGAGGGACCCATGGTCACATGGAATAGTGATAAGTATTCATACTTAATGGCTAGATACCCAACATGGCAGACAAACTATTTTTAGCTCAACATACGCATACTAAGTCTGTGTAAACAGAGAAATGCCTCAACTATTTGGGAAGTGTTAAACTGATAATGTGACAGTTGCCAAGATCACATTCAACCTGCCATCCACCTTAAATTCAGAAAGTTAATTTAATTTGAATAAATATACATGTTCTATTTTTGTTACTATATTGTCATTCCTGTTTAATATTTTTTTATTCACTGTACCTGTATTTGAGAGAAATAGATGATGCTGAATTAAAAAAAAGAAGAAGAAGAAGAAGTGGGACTTGAACCGGTGCCCATATAGGCTGCTGGCACTACAGGCAGCAGCTCACCCACTGCCACAGTGCTGGCTCCTGTTGTTTGATTTATTTATTTATTTATTTATTTGAAAGTCAGAGTTACACAGAGAGAGAAGGAGGGGCAGGGACAGGGAGAGAGAGAAAGAGAGGTCTTTCATCCGCTGGCTCATTCCCCAAAAGGCTGAAAGGGTTGGAGCTGCACAATCTGAAGCCAGGAGCTTACTCCGGGTCTTCTCACATGGATGCAGGGGCCCAAACACTTAGGCCATCTTCTACTGCTTTCCCAGGTTATAGCAGAGGGCTGGATCGGAAATGGAGCATCCAGGTCTCGAACTGGCATCCATATGGGATGCCAGCACCACAGGCAGTGGCTTTACCCACTACGCCACAGCGACGGCCCCTCCTGTTGATGTTTTCAAAGAACCAGATTTTGACTTTGTTCATTTGCTTGTATTTTGTCATTATTCAATATCACTGATTATTGTTCCTATTCCTCCTACTTGCTTTGTGTTTGCTTTGTTCTAGATTTTTGAGATGTGAATATTAAACATGGCTTTTACTATTTGGAGTCTGATACTTTAACAGCTGGAACCATGCTGGACCCTTGCAGGGTTGGCCAGTTCCTGAAGACAATAACAACTCACCCATGAATGTACCAACCAGATCAGAGCCTGCAACCCTACCACCTTCTTCTTTATTGGGTTCTCACACTACAGACCACTATGTACCTGCTCTGATCATCCCAGGATCAGGTCCTAGAAAACTGGATACAGCTCGAGTGCCCCCAAAATTGCTAAAATTATTCAAACTAGCGAGTTGTAAGCCTGCTTGTCCTGCCTTGCCTGTTCCTTCCCAGGGAAACCATAGAAAAGGCTCTTCCACACAATTCTCTTATATCTCTGCCTCCTGACTGATCCCAGTGCTTCTCCCATGTGGCCCCTGGGGCATGGTGAACCTTCTCTTGGGATCTGTGAGTATAACAAGTTGTCTCTTCTTTTCCATTTCATTTCTATACATGTTCTTTAAGAATATTTACAGGGCCAGTGTTGTGGTGTAGTGGGTAAGACCACTGCCTGTGACACCAGCACCCCATATAGGCAACAGTTCGAGTCCCACTACTGATCCAGCTCACTGCTACTGTGTCTGGGAAAGCAGTGGAAGATAGCCCAAGTCCTTGGGCCCCTGTACCCATGTGAGAGACCAGAATGGAGCTCTGGGCTTTTGGCTTTGGCCTGGCCAGCCCCAGCCATTGTGGCCATTTGGGGAGTAAACCAGCAGATGAAAGATTCTCTCTCTCTCTCTCTCTCTCTCTCACTCTCTCTCTCTCCCCCTCCCATCTCCCCCCCAGCTTTGTCAAATAAAATAATGAAATCTTTCAAAAAAAAGAAAAAAGAAAGAAAAATTTTGATGTGTTGGCGATCTGGATTTAGAGAACTTGATTTTCCAATCCCTGGCTCTGCCTCAGGGAAGCTGTAGATCTTCAGCAGTCAACATTTTTGTGCCTCAGTGACTACATCTATGAAATGGGAACAACAGCACAAATCTTACAGCACCCTTGTGAAAACCAAGAACACATTTCAAAGCATTTTGTCTCACTTTATCGCTGTTAAAGCATATTCCCCTTTAAATGATGACAATCCAATGAAATAATGAGAGGATATTAATATTGTACACTTAGTGATAATTTTATTTCAAAGAAAAGTATTTTAAAAGGCCACTGAATACTGAAACCCTCAATTCAAACTTGAAGATTAGTTCAGTCACAATTTACTAAGAATTTAATGACAGACAGTACATGCTTGTCACCTAAGAAACCTTTTCCTTATCTGAAATGATTCTGTGATGGCAATGTTTCTGTCATTCTGACCAAGATCTGTAAATCCACTAGACACTCTGTCCTCCTCCATTGAGCATCTTGAATTTGAATGGCTTGTATTACACTGTTTCACTCCCCAAATGCCTGCAACAGCAGCAGCCAGTGCTGGGCCAGGAGTCTATCCCAGGTAGCAGGGACCCAGTGACTGGCCCATCATCTACTGTTTCCCAGAATGCATTAGCACGACACTGGAGCAGAAGCTGAGCAGTGAGGATTCAAACTGGTGCTCTGATATGGGTTGCAGGTGTCCCAAGTGGCAGCTTAACCTCTGAACCACAACACCCACTGCACATTTTATTTTGTAATTATTCTGTTTGGGCTTCACCACAATTCGTTGAATGTCTAAACTTCTGCTTTTCAGAAAATTTTTGATCATCATTTCCTCAAATAATTTTTCTGAAACTTAAAACTTATCTGTATGTTAGATCATGGGAATTTTTTCAGAGATCTCTGTGTTTGTCTTCATGTTTTTTTCCATCTTTCATTTTTTCATATTCATATTAGATAATTTTGACTGGTTTATCTTAAGTTTATGGACTCTACCATTTCATTCTGATATTAATCCTATCTATTGAACATTTTACTTCAGCTGTTTTATTTTTTAGTCCAAAAATTTCAATCTTCTGTTTCTCCTCTGAGATTTTCAATGTTTTTATTCTCTAAGAGCAGAATTACAATAGCTTTTTAAAAAGTCTTTGGCAATTTTGGCGTCGGTTAACATCTGTTTATTATCTTTTCCCTTATTACCAGATCATTTTTTTCGGGTTCTTCTTACGTTGAGTGCTTGTAGATTAAATCTTAAACATTTTGAGTTTTTCTTGTAGTAATTATGGACTCAGATATATTGCTATGTTCAGTTTTTAAGTCTTAGTTGCAATACACTTTCAGTTTATCAGTATACACGTGTTCAGGATTCTAAAGCAGATTGGGGTAAGTTTCACCTTCCTGTCTTTCTCCTTTCCAGTCTCTCTCCCCCTACCTCGCTCACTGGTGGGCCTGATTGCCTGAGGTCTTTCACCAGGTTCTTCTAGCTGGAGAGATGGCAGGCTTTCTGTTTTGCATTTTAGCTGTCTCTATGTTGTTGCCACTGCCATGACCACAGCCACGCTGAGGACAGAGCAGAAAAATAGCAAACAAAGCATGACCAGTGTTGGTTACCTGTCCCACACTGGGTTTCCTCTCTAAAACCTGCCTGCCTTTTTTGGTCCCTCATACTCTTAACCAGAATTAAGAACTCTCGCTTGTTTTGATAATGTCATCTAGGTTTTCATATTGGTTGGTATAATCTTATCAATAATTACATAAAATTTGAAGTTCTCCATATATGTTATATCCCACCTTAATTTTTTTCCTTTTTTAACATTTGATATATCTATTTTGCTTTGGGAATATTTTTATTTATTGTTAAGGAATTCATTACTACATTATATTCTTATGGACACAGCAAATGAATGGTAATTCAATTGCAACACAATTCTCATCAATTCTCATGTTGATGTGATATTAATATAAAGGGAATAGATTTAATGCAGCTCAGATATAATTCCAAGAATATAATGGTTATTCCCTTTAGAATAGTTTAAAATTTACAAAACAGAAATTGTGAGGTGGTAATACAGTTTCCACATCTCTCACCCCATTTTGCATATTAACACTGCTTATTAGTATCTTTGTCACAATTAATAAATGACACTAAATTTCCCCTATTATTTTAATTTGAACTCCTCCCTTCCCTCCCACCCCTCTGAGCCTCTAGCAATCAACATTCTGTGTTCTGAGTCATCTAGCTTATGATTCGTCTGCGTAAAGCATGTGATTCAATGGATTCTAATATATTCACAAACACATGTAACTATCACCACAGTCAGTTTTAGAGTATTTTCCCCACCTCAGAGAAGCCCAATGCTGTCTAATTGTTCCCCCCTTATCCTGCCTTCCCTGTACCTCTGGTCTATTAACTTCCAGCCACTAATCTACTTTCTGTCCTTATAGGTTTGCCTACTTCGGACTTTCATAGCATTGAATCGTAGTGCATGTGGTCTTCTGTAACTGACCTCTTTCAATTACTACAATGTTTTCAAGATTAATTTATGTTCTAGCATGCATTAGTACTTCATTCTCTTTTTTAAAAATTATTTTGAGAAGGGGAGAGAGAGAGAGAGAGAGAGAGAGAGAGAGAGAATATGTCTATCCTCTGAGCACCTCCCCCCACCCTCAAGTACCTATAATGGCCTGGGCTGGGTGGGCCAGAGCCAGGAGCTGGGAACTCGCTCTAGGTCTCCCACATGCACATCAGGGAGCTAATTACTTCAGCCATCACCACTGCCTTCCAGCATTTACAATAGTAGGAAATGGGAATCAGAAGCCAAAACTGGAAATCAAACTCCAATTCAGGAATCTTAACCACTAGACAAAACACCCACCCCCATCCTTGGTTGTAGCTAATGAATAATCAGTTTTATGGATACACCATACTTTGTTTATCCATATGACATGGTGTGTCCACTTTTTGGTAGTTGTGAATAATGTTGCTATGAACATTTGTGTACAAAATTCTTTGTGGACACATTTTCGTTTCTCTGGGGCATGCACCTAGAGCAACACTGCTGCGTTGTGTGGGAACACTGTTAGTCACTTGAGGAACTGCCACAGTGGCCACCCTGTTTTACATTCCCACCAGCAGTGTATGAGGGTCTGATTTCTCCATGTCCTTGCCAACGTTTGCTGATATCTCGCTTTTTGATTCTAGCCATGCTAGTGTGCCTGAAATAATGTAGTTTTATTTTGTGTTTTCCTGATGGCTAATAGCGCCAAGCACCTTTTCATGTTATCTATTTGATTTTTCACCTCATCTCCATGACATTTTTAAAGGGAAGAATAGGTAAACACATGGCTCAACCCACTATCTTGACTCAGAAGTCTTTTTATTTATATTCAAGATGAGAACTATAAAGTGACTTTTTCTTCCTCTGTTCTAGGCAACAAAACAAGCAATTACTCAAAACTGTCAAGATCTTAAACACTTGCTAGGTAAAGAAAATGAGGTGGCCCTAATCATTGATGGCGAAACACTGAAGTATGCCCTCAGTTTTGAAATTAAGAGGAACTTCCTAAATTTGGCCCTGTCATGTAAAACAGTATTATGTTGTAGGTAAGAATATATTCATTTTTCTTTTATTCTTTTATTTCTGTTGTACTTAATGCTGCTTATGTAAAGAAAATATAGGTGTGGAATTGTGTGTCAGCCCCCTTTTTGGAGAACCCTGTTGTGTGGGGAAAGACCCCCAAATTGGGTCATTTGTTTAGTGTCATGAAGTCAATGATGAAACCGAAGTTGAACATCAACTTTATTCAGGGGCCAAAGCAGAGAGAAGCAGGAGCCTCCCTGGCAGATCTGCTTCTCAGCCTGCTGGAGGTTGGGGCATCACAGACACAGGGCCACAGGCATGAGGGGGAGGAATATGCTCATCAGCAGGCAGAGTGTTCATGGGTTTTCTCGTAAAGGAGCTGTGTAATTCTCAGAATCAGAGAGCCACCTTTTCTTCGTCCTTTTATGGTCTCTGTGGGAGTAGGGGTGAGTGTTAGATTGGAAATGAAATTACAATGAGGCTTGAGGTCAGGTTGGCTGCCATCACGGAGTTAAACCATTGCCCTGGGAAGGAACTTTTGTACCTATGCCATCCTGTTTCAAAGAGAAACAATGTTAGGGTTTAGGATGGGGTAGAAAGTTAACTAGGCTATGCAGGCATTGCCCTGGATAATAGGAAGTTTTGCAGAGGCAAAGGTCTTTATTAGGAAAACAGATAGTCAAACTGAAGTGAAATAGTCTGTGCTTGATTCAGATTGTTAGGCCTAAGGTTTATTACCTTTTCAACTGTAAATTATTTATCAATGTATGACAAGATGAAGGAATTGTCTTCAGTAAGATCAGAGGCCCTCCATGTGTTTACAGTAATGCACAAATATGGAAAAAATTCAGACACTTAGAGAAAAATGAAGTTATGAGTATTATGCATGTCAAAACAGTGATTTTTAAAAAACCAAGTTGTCCACAGCAAAGATGGCCGAACTGAGAAAACAGTGAGGTGTGTACATAATACTTGCTTCTTGCTCTGCAATTAGAATATGAAATGAACCAATCACTGAACCATTGATAACTTGGTATTCTATATATATCTGAGAACACTCCTCAATCAATGAATTTCACCATCTACTTCAAATGTCTCATTTATTTTAATGTCCAAGTTCACATATATTTAGGATCTATTTTTAAAAAGTCAACAGCTTCTATTTTTCTCTGTACTCTGTCCCACCTTTTGTCTGTAATATAGCCTTCCGGATTCTTGGGGACCCGATCTTATGTCAGTGAGAACTCTCTGTACTGGAAATGATGGAAATTATGCTGCAAAAGACAGAATTCAAATCCAGTTTAGGCAAGAAAGGAGGAATTTATTAGTTTATGTAATGAAAAGTCTGCATATAGAGCTGATATTTTCAGGGGAAGCAAGCAAATTCGTTAATAGCCAATTCGAAATTCCTGATTTCTTCTATTCAGATCTAATTAACTGGTTTCCATTTTGTGTCATTCAAGTATTTCAAGGAGTGCTCATGTTTTCTCCTTCAAATTCCATGCTCATGTTGGTAGAACTGGAGGAAGCAATGGTAGAATATCCCGAAGAAGCAGAGAGGGAGAAACACAGGGGCTAATTTTGCCACAAAGAAAATTCCAGCAGTTGGCTTGCAGAGAACTATTCGTGGGAGGTCCAAAACCTGGCTTCAGAATTCATGGCTTGACACAGACTCAAACGGTGTCTCCCATTTGACTCATGTGGATTCAGACGATAGCCCTGGGGTTGGGTGACCTTTAGGTTTTGGCCCAGGCTGCTGTTGCACCTAGACTCATGAACAAGGCCAGTTACTGTCTGCAAAACTAGATTTGTTGAAATAGTTGTTTTTTTACATCAGCAAGACTTAGGTGATTCAGGATCTTAGTTTCTCCACTTAACAAACTCCTTTAAGTTTCTCCATTAGCTGAACATTAAACATAAAAGGCTACAAAGTTGAAGTCTCCTGACTCAGCTGTATTCTGAATCAGTGAAAACAGGTGGGCAGGGAATTGGCTGAAACTGCTAACCTGAAAGGCAGTGGTGGAAGGGAGTGAGTGCAGATCCCGTCTAAATGTTCTTCATGGCTTTGCATTTTTGTTATTTTAATTTGGCTGTTTTTCTGTACGTGTTGTATGTAGTAAAATTTCATTAAGAATTTGTAGCCTGTGTTTACAAAGGCTATTTGTCTCTGGCTTTATTCTTTCACAGGCTGTGCTAGTAGGATAATTCTGGCATGGTATAGGAATTGAGAAGTGTTCTTTTGTCTGCTATTTCCTGAAACGTTTCCATAGTGTTGGTATTATTTGTTCCTAAAATATTTGATGGAGATTGTTATTGAAGCCATCTGGGCCTAGGGTTTTCTTTGTGGAAATTTCTTTGTGGAAATTTCTCATTAATAATTCATTTCTTTTGCAGACATCTTCTTGTGTCCCTTGTGTTACTTTGTGTCTTTCAAGGGATTTTTCTATTTTACCTAGTTGGCAAATTTGAAGGCATAAGATTTTTAACAATATTCCATGGTTATTATTATTTCTGTGTTAACCATAGTAATGTTCCTTCTCTCCTTCCTTATATTAGTAGTTTGTATCTATTCTCTCTCTTTTTATCTCTTGATGCATCTAGGTAAAATTGCTTTACCAATTTTAGTAATCTTTTCAAGGGACAACTCTGTGTTTGTCTAGCTCCTATTTACATTCTGATACATAACTGTAAGGGAAGAAAAATTTCACCTCTACCCTCTTAGGAAATTTTGGCTGGGTCTGCAAATTAAATTGACAGAAGACAGAGCAACAGGAAGAGATATAAAGTGATCTAATTCAAGTTTTAAGTGTCAAAAGAACCTTCAAAAGGAAATGAAGGAGGCAGGCATTGTGGCACAGCTGATTAAGCCACTGCTTGGAATGCCCTTAGCTTCTAATCTAGCTTCCTGTTAATGCTCTTGGAAGGTAGCAGATGATGGCTCAAGTGCTTGGGTTCTTGCCACCCGAGTAAGAGACCTGCATGGAATTCTGGGCTCCTTGCTTTGACCTGGCACAATCCCAGCTCTTAGAAGCATTTGCAAATATTTCAGGGAGAGACATGATCTGCTAGTCTGAAAATTTTTAGGACTGTTGAGTTTATTTTTGTAGCTTGAGGAAAAACATATTAATGCCATATCCTAGTCTGTGTCAGACATATAGACATTCCTTTCTTTTTTTTAATTTTATTTATTTACTTGAGAGGCAGAGTTACAGACAGAGAGAGGGAGGGACAGAGGGAGAGGTCTTTCATCCACTGGTTCACTTACTCCACAAATGGCTGCAATGGCCCAAGCTGGGCTGATCCAAAGCCAGGAGCCAGGAGCTTCTTCCTGGTCTCTCATGTGGATGCAGGGCCCAGGCACTTAGACCATCTTCTACTGCTTCCCCAGGCCATCAGCAGGGAGCTGGATTGGAAGTGGAACAGCCGGGACTTGAACTGGTGCCCATATAGCAGGCTGCAGATAGACTACAGGAATTGGTGGGGGAAGCACAAACTGACAAGTGTATCTGCTTAGAGGGGTAGCTGGTGGCTGATGCTGTGTATTTCTTTTAAGATGTTGGAGAAGCTTGTGTGGTTTGTGTTTGTTTCATTTTTGGTGGGTGTGGGTGGAGGCTTTTTTGTGTGTATGAAAGCTCAATTAAAGAATTAGGACATTTTCCCGTAACTATGATTTAAATGCAGCCACACGCACATCATCATCATCTCCTCTGTGAAAACTTTCAGAACAGCGTGCGGTGAAACAAACCAAAACAAATGAGTAAAATGTCGTTGTTCCCATCTCCCTTTCCAGGCTCTCTCCCCTGCAGAAGGCTGAAATCGTGGACGTCGTCAAGAAGAACGTAAGGGCCGTCACCCTGGCCGTCGGGGATGGTGCCAACGATGTGGGCATGATCCAGACGGCGCATGTGGGAGTGGGCATCAGCGGGAACGAGGGCATGCAGGCCACCAACAACTCGGATTACGCCATCGCACAGGTCAGCCATGGGGGTGACCAGCTGGGCATAGTGTTGTGAAAACCTTTGATCCACCCCAGAGCTCTACCCACCTCTCCAGAAGTGCAGTTAGGTCCTTACGCACTTGGGGCAGCAGAGGTTTCCTTTGATCAGCTAATGGGGTTGGTCAAGCAGCTGCCTCCAGGAACCTACGGCCCCGCTAATGCTTCCTGTCATCTCTAAATCCTCAGTTCCCATAATCTACAGTGTGTGTTCTGCTGTGTGGTGGCCATTGATGAAGATTTCTTAAAGACACATAATCTCCCCATTTCATTTTTTTTTTAAAGGAAGAATTACATCTTGGTGGGCTTTTTTGTTTTTTTAACAATTAGACTTTTTTTTTTTTTTTTAAAAAGCAGTTTTAGGTTCACAACAAAATTGTATAGAGGGCACAGAGATTTTTCCTGATATCTTCTTTCCCTCTGTATGCACACTCCCCAGTATCAACCACCCTCACCAGAGATGCACATTTGTTATAACTGATGCACCCACATTGACACATTGTTATCGTCCAAGGGCCTTACTTTACCTTAGGGTTCACCTTCGTGTGCTACACTCTGTGGTTTGGACGAATGTACCATAACATGCAGGCACCATGACAGAAGTAGAGTATTTCCACTGCCCTAAAACATCCTCTGTGCTCCATTAATATTCTTACCCCCATGAAACCCCTGGTATCCTGTGGTCGTTTTACTGTTTTCATAGTTTGCCTTTCCCAGAATGCTGTAAATTTGGAATCATGCAGTATGTAACCCTTCTGGGCTGACTTCTCTCACCTAATGATATGCAGTATTACAGGGAGAACTATAAGGTTCTTTCATGTCTTTTCGTGGCTTGACAGCTCATTTCTTTTACCACGGGTTATTTGCCTTTACCCATTGAATGAGATCTTGGGTGTTTTCCAACTTTTGGCAACTATCAATAAAGTTGCTGTAAACATCTGTGTGCAGGTTTTTGGGTGGATGTAAGATTTCAGCTCCTTTGGGTAAATACCAAGGGGTGGCCTTACTGGGCTGTTTTGTAAGTATTCGACTGTCTTCCAGAGTGGCTATGCCATTTTTGGTAGGCATTTAAGAATGTGTACTCTGTGATTTATAGCCCCTGTGTATGTGGGAGACCAGTACTGTGCCTGGTGTGGCTCTCAGGAGCTGAATCCCTGGAACTATAATCTTTTCATCACATTTAAGCAATTAACAGTAACAGGTTTCCTTCTTGCTGAATGGAGGAATCACATTGAGAAGCTCCCTAGCAATAGCCACAGGCTCTGGGGAGATCTCCCTGTTGGGCTGTGCCCTTACTGTGGGCCATGTCAGAGCAGCTATGTGGTTTAGTAATCGCCACAGCCAAGTAGATGCCTCGAACAGGAGTGGGACCAACCTGCACTCCTAGGTGTTCTTCCTCAGAGAGGAAACAATGTGGTACCCATCTACGAATCAGGTCAGTTCTGAAATTCTCTTCCTTACAAACTGCCTTGCTTTTATAGAAGTGCAAGCCAGGCTCGTGTGTGTTAGGATGTGTGAGTTTAGGACGGTGCCACGGAACTCTGATCAGGGATGCTGCCTATATACAGAGGACTGGCCACACCACTCATCTATTTCCTGTTCTTGATCTCGAGATGCCACTGGGATGCATGCCTCCCATGGTCTCTGCAATTCTAGTCATCCAGTGCTTAATGATGGGAACATGTTCTGAGAGATGCATCGTTAGTCAAGTGCATCATTGTGTGAATGTCATGAAGTAGCCTACACAAATGTACATGGCAGAGCCTACTGCACACACAAGCTAATATATGTGTCTACTTGAAGGTACTTCCAAGAGCTCATGGAGAAATAGAATGAAAAAATAAATTCAGTTTGGTGCAAAAAAAAAAATTTGAAATCCATCCTTAATTTTTTCATTACATACTTTCCACGAACTTTTTGAAGAATGCTTTTTTTCCCTGTGGTATAGCCCATGGTTCTAAGGGCCACAATGAGGAAAGCAACCTAAGAATAAATCAAGCACGACAGAAAATGATGCCTCAAGAGACATAGGCTTCTGCCTGACCTGACAGAAAAAACAGTGACTAGGCTTGGATTTCCTGTTTCCAACACAAGGTGCTTTTCCTTAAATAATTCTGACCCCTTTCTCATGAGTTAATTCCTGAATATGTATCCAATTAAATTAAAAGCCTTGCAGGTGACAAGTGAAAAATCAAGTAGCATTTTCCAGGCTAAAAAAAAAGTGCTGTTAAGTGGTTGTTAGTGCTTTTTTGAACACTAAGAGTTGATTTTATGAAGCTTTTGAAAATTTTTCTATGGCAAACTGCTATGTTAAGATTGTGGCTTTGGTTTCATTCTGTCTGTCTTCTGCGGTATATTCTCTCCAGAGGGAGTAGTGGGGCCTTGAAATACCGGGGAGTGACATTTGGTGGGGGTTGTCACTGAACTATACTTGGGGAACTTGCCTTGACTGTTGTTTCTGTCTTTCAGTTTAGCTACCTGGAGAAGCTTCTGTTAGTTCATGGAGCTTGGAGTTATTTTCGAGTGACCAAATGCATACTGTATTGTTTCTACAAGAATGTGGTGTTGTACGTCATTGAGGTAAGAAAGGAGATTTGCTTTATTTCAGGGAGGAGTTAGGTCTTTTTACCAGGCTTGGTAGTTCAAATTTTTTCTTATTTTTCTCACTTAAAGTAATATTATATGAGTCTGCTTTAAGTTTTTGCTCACAAAAGTGGTAAAGTGAAGAAAGAAAGTTACGTTTAGTGAAACAGGTACTGATCTCATGATTCATTAACATAACATGTGGTTAGAAGTAAATGCCCTGCTTGGAAGTCTAATGCATCTCTGATAGCACGAGATCCTCCTGTGATGAAACGAACAGAAATCTCTGGGTTCTCCTAGCTGCACTCTCATTGAAATGGAAAATCTGTGGCAGGAGGCAATTTTTTTCCTAGGATTGACCACACACGAGGCCATAAAGCAAGTCTCAGCAAATTCAAAAAAATAAAAATCATACCATGCATCTTCTCAGACCACAATGGAATGAAGCTGGAAATCAGCAACTCAGGAATCTAGAGCATTTGCAAACACATGGAGACTGAACAACATGATCCTTAATGAACAGTGGGTCATAGAAGAAATCAAAAGAGTATCAAAAAATTTCTGGAAACAAATGAGGATGACAATACAACATATCAAAACTTATGGGGTACAGCAACATCAGTGTTAGGAGGAAAGTTTAATGCAATAGGTGCCTATATCAAGAAACTGGAAAAGCACCAAATAAATGAGCTATTAATACATCTCATGGGTCTAGAAAAACAATAGCAAACCAAACCCAAAACTAGTAGGAGAAAAAAATAATTAAAATTAGAGAAGAAATCAACAAAATTGAATCCAAAAAATTACAAAAGATCAGCAAAATTAAGAGATTATTTTCTGAAAAAATAAACTAAATACGGGGGCCAGTGCCATGGTTCACTTGGTTAATCCTCCACCTGCAGTGCTGGCATCCCATATGGGCACTGGGTTCTAGTCCCGGTTGCTCCTCTTCTGGTCCAGCTCTCTGCTGTGGCCCAGGAAGGCAGTGGAGGATGGCCCAAGTCCTTGGGCCCCTGCACCCACATGGGAGACCAGGAGGAAGCACCTGGCTCCTGGCTTCGGATCAGTGTAGCTGTGGCAGTAGCGGCCATTTAGGGGGTGAACCAACGGAAGGAAGATCTTTCTCTTAATCTCAATCTCACTGTTTAACTCTGTCAAATAAAAAAAAAAAGAAAAAGTAAACTAAATTGACACACTATTGGCCCAACTAACAAAAAAAGGAGTGAGAAGACCCAAATCAATTAAAATTAGAGATGAAAAAGTAAATGTAACAACAGACATCACAGAAATAAAAAGAATCATCAAATTACTACAAAGAGTTATATGCCAATAAACTATGAAACCTAACAGAAATGGATAGATTGCTGTACACATACAACCTACCTAAATTGAGCCATGAAGACATAGAAAACCTAAACAGACCCATAACCAAGACAGAAATTGAATCAGTAATAAAGGCCCTCCCAACAAAGAAAAGCCCAGGACCAGATGGCTTCACTGCTGAATTCTATGAGACATTTAAAGAAGAACTAACTCAGTTGTTCTCAAGTTATTCAGAACAATTGAAAGAGAGGGAATACTCCTTTCTATGAAGCCAGCATCACCCTAATTCTGAAACCTGAAAAATATGCAATGGAGAAAGAGAATTACAGCCCAATTTCCCTGAAGAACACAGAAACAAAAATCCTCAACAAAGTTGTAGCCAATCAATTCCAGCAACATATCAGAAAGATCATCCACCAAGACCAAGTGGGATTTATCCCTGATATGCAGGGAGGGTTCAACATTCACAGATCAGGCAATGTGATACATCACATTAACTGCAGAAGAAAACCATATGATTATCTCAATAGATGCAGAGAAAACATTTTATAAAATACAACACTTTCATGATGAAAACTCTAAGCAAATTTGGTATAGAAGGAACATTCCTCAATACAGTGAAGGCAATTTATGAAAGACCCACGGCCAGCATCCTATTGAATGGGGAAAAGTTGGAAGCATTCCCACTGAGAATCAGTACCAGATGGGGATGCCCACTCTCACCATTGCTTTCATTATACTCATGGGAGTTTTAGCCAGAACCATTGGGCAAGAAGAAGAAATCAAAGGGATACAAATTGGGAAGAAAGAAGTCAAACTATCCCTATTTGCAGATGACATGATTCTATATGTAGGGGATCCAAAAAACTCCACTGAGAAACTATTGGAACTCATAGAAGAAGTTGATAAAGTAGCAGGATATAAAGTCACTACACAAAAATCAACAGCCTTTGTATACACAGACAACACCATGGCTGAGAAAGAACTTCTAAGATCAATCCCATTCACAATAGCTACAAAAACAATCATATACCTTGTAATAAATTTAACCAATGATGTGAAAGATTTCTATGATGAGAAATACAAAACATTAAAGAAAGAAATAGAAGATAAAAAAAGTGGAAAAATCTTCCATGTTCATGGACTGTAAGAATCAGTATCATCAAAATGTCCATTCTTCTGAAAGCAATTTTCAGATTCAATGCGATACCAATCAAAATACAATTCTTCTCAGATCTAGAAAAAATGATGTTGAAATTCATATGGAACCACAGGAGACCTTGAATAGCTAAAGCAATCTTATACAACAAAAACAAAGCCAGAAGCATCACAATACCAGATTTCAAGACATACTACAAGGCAGTTCTAATCAAAACAGACTGATACTGTTACAAAAACAAATGGATAGACCAGTGGAACAGAATAGAAACCCCAGAAATCTTATATTTGATAAAGGAGCTAAAACTAATCCCTGCAGCAAGGACAGTCTCTTCAACAAATTGTGCTGGGAAAACTGGATTTCCACATGTAGAAGTATGAAGCAAGACCCCTACCTCATACCTTACATAAAAATTCACTCAACATGGATTAAAGATCTAAATATTTGACCTGACACCATCAAATTATTAGAGAATATTGGGGAAACCCTGCAAGACATTGGAATAGGCAAAGAGTTCTTGGAAAAGACCCCAGAGGTACAGGAAGTCAAAGCCACAATTTACAAATGACATTACATCAAATTGAGAAGTTCTGTATACAGCAAAAGAAACAGTCAGGAAATTGAAGAGGCAACTGATAGAATGGGAGAAATTATTTGCAAACTATGCAACTAATAAAGGATTAATAACCAGAATCTACAAATAGATCAGGAAACTCCACAACAGCAAGACAGACTATTCAGTTAAGAGATGGGCCAAGGAATTCAACAGACATTTTTCAATAGAGGAAATCCAAACGGCCAACAGACACATGAAAATATGTTCAGGATCACTAGCCATCAGGGAAATGCAAATCAAAACCACAATGAGGTTTCACCTCACTCCAGTTAGGATGACTTTCATACAAAAATCAACAAACAGCAAATGCTGGTGAGGATGTGGGGGAAAAGGTACACTAATATACTGTTAGTGGGAATGCAAACTGGTAAAACCACTATGTAAGACAGTTTGGGGATACCTAAGAAAGCTGAATGTAGTCCTACTGTACAACTCAGCCATCCCACTCCTCAGAATTTACCCAAAGGAAATGAAATCAGCAAATAAAAGAGCTATCTACACCTCCATATTTATTGCAGCTCAATTCACAATAGCTAAGATATGGAATCAACCTAAATGTTCGTCAGTGGAAGACTTGATAAAGAAATTATGGGATATATACTCTATGGAATACTACACAGTGGAAAAAAATCCAATCATTTGCAACAAAATGGATGAATCTAGAAAACATAATACTTAGTGAAATAAGCCAGTCCCAAAGGGACAAATACCATATGTTCTACTTGATCTGTGACAACTAACAGAACACCTAAAAGAAACCTTAGAAGTGAAATAGACACTTGAGAAGCAAGGATTTGAATAGCCCTTGTCTTGACTGTTGAGGAACAGTTTATTATCTTATTTTTTAAATTATTTTCTTTTTCTACTTAGTACCATTGGTTGAACTCTTTACTTAACATAGAATTATTCAGAGATGTATAAAACCAATTGAAAATAGATCCCAGTTAAAAATAAGAGTGGGAATAAGAGAGGGAGGTGTTCTGCACACATTCCCGTGGACTTACTCCTAAGGGTAAAGCTAAAAATTTGCCATGGGACTCCAAATCCCATTAATCTGGGTGGTACTAATGCCATCTTACATGTTAAAGTGATCATATTAAGTGTGTAATTAATCATATAGACAGGATTAAGTGTCAAAGGGATCACATAAATAAGACTAATTATCTGGTAATAACAATAGATAGAATTTAAAGGGAAAGAATGTTCCAACTTGGGAAGCAGTCCACACAGCAGACTCATAGATGACAAATGCCCTAAACAGCACTTTGACCTCAGAATAAGCCCTTAAATCATTCAGATCTTGCTGAAAAACCTATGAGAGCATTTTACACTTGGAAAGCCAAGACACTGTGGCAAAAAATGATCTACATGCAGGATCTCTGTGTGTGAGACCCCAGTGGAAATAAGGGGCCAACAAAGAAGGATGTAGTTTTTTTCTGAAGGGAGGAGAGAACTTCTAGTTTGCATATGGTTCTGTTTAAAAACCGTCTGAGTGTGTGGACTCAAAAGACTCCCATAGCCTTGGCAGTTCATGTCAAGAGCCTCAGGCAATCACTGATGTCATAAATAAGAGTGTCAATTGTTAACTCAACAACAGGAGTCACTGTGCACTTGTTCCCCATGTAGGTCCTCTGTCCTTAATGAGTTGTGCTATGAGAATTAACTGTAAAATTTTGTTTTCATTTTTGTTATTAACTGTAAAAACTTGTTTTCAAACAATACTTTTTACTTTGTTTATCTGTGTAGGTGCAGATTGTGGAAATCTTTACTTAGTATAGAGTTGGTCTTCTGTATATAAAATTATTTTAAAATGAATCTTAAGAATAAGATGGGAGAGGGAGTAGGAGGTGGGATGGGAGTGGGCATGGGAGGGTAGATATAGGGGGGAAGAACCACTAT